TATAGCTACAGAGGAAGTTAAAACAGTAATTTGACTTTACTATTCCATCCAGACGCTGGAGGATGCCTTCTGACATAAGCCAGGTAACAAAGTATATGGCCTTTTTAACCACAAATTTGAAAACGTCACAAACTGACTCAAACCTAACTAAAATCACTATTTACATTATGGATGCCGACCAAGCATAGAAATGAATACAATATGGGAAACAGTAATAAAGAATACCAGAGAGAAGCGATAATAACATCAAAAATTGCAATATGAGCTCTGGTAAAAAACGGTTGCTGAAGACATTAGGTTTATAATACCCAAAAATTCATACATAGATGTCCCCAAGAACACAGGGCGTTAGTTAGATCCAGTGACAGGAACCAAAGAGTGTGAGTTCAATACCTGGTTAAGGCAATGGAGAACTGAGAGAGTGGAATTAACACGAGATAACTGATAACTGACAGTGGAACAGTCTACCCAAGTGGGCGAAATAAAGGGTTCAGTTCGACATTCCAACCACCTGACGAAGCTGGAGCGTACAACGACCGAAACGTTGTAATAAATATGGCAATATAGATGAGGACAATAGTCCGAGTAATATAAATAGTTTACATAATACCTCATCTCAGAAATATAAACAATCATTCATCATTAGAATCAACACAATTTTGTCCACTCTGATGGTGTTAGAAGTACTCCACTAGAGTGATAACCAGAGTTATATCTCCGACCTACTTATGGGACGACGCCTGACTCATTTAGTTAACCCACCTATAACTCTTCCATTAGTGCATGCACAGGTGCAAAAGGTCATGGAATTGTGCTTTTCAGGTATCCGACTTCTGTATGATCGTGTAAGTAAAAACTTTTGGTGGATAAACAGTGTAATAAACAACTGGGAGTGACATCTTTTGTCGTAAATATTGCAGGGCGTATATGCATCTTAGGTTTGGAAAAAAATATACACCGTATATATGTATACATCGGAAACATAAGGAAGGTGACATTACTGACGTAGCGTTTTAGCATTTGTTCAGTGTTTAGGTAATGATTAGGGTCGAGAGATTTTTAGCCTGCCCTCGGGAAAGTGGAATCAGTAATCTGTATATATTAGTTGAGATTGTTTGGAATTTTTTTTTTTTTTTTTACTTCGGTCGATGTGATGAATTAAGTGCATTGACAAGCGAAGAATTTATGTGAGAAAAAAAAAACAATTCTTATGAAAAATAACGGTTATTTTTTCACTTCATTAAGCTAAATTGATACAAATATATATTTGCCATAAAACACATTTTTAATCTAGAATGTATTTGTTTTTATTGCAAGACTCCTTCATAGGAAGAACAAATTAAAAAGATTACATTTTTGTCGTTTCTATTGGGAATTATAAAGCTTCTAAGACGACAATGTGTGCGGGAGTGTATGTTCTTGAACATGACGATATGTAGGTGCATATACACTTGGCTGTCTTGTAGCAACCTATAACTATAAGACTCTATAAAATATCGTTTACTCTGTATATTAGCGTCTGTGACTACCAAATATCAACTAGGTATACGCTTAGGATGTAAAGTTACGAAAAGCCAATACTGTTAAATTCTGTTTGATTTTAAAATCAACAAAAAATAGTCATCAAATTTCAAGAATTCCTGAGCTAAGAGTTAAAGAAGACAAAATTTGGAGGTTGTCTGTTTATATATAGGTCAGTATAACATCGTAAACTTTCATCAAAATCTGAGATGACGTCCATGGGAATTTACGAAAATTTAATAGATCTGTCATGGCAGTAGCCATATATGTATAAAATCGATTAAATTCAAAAAAGAAATAGATGGAATTATTTCTCCCATAAATAATTGAAACGTTCCATTATCGTAACAACAAGCAATCAATATAAGTATTCATATTTAAATTTTTCAACGGCTTAGTTTCTTCCGAGCCTGACGATTGTCTCGTGCATGCAAGTCGTACTAAGAGTTGTACTAAACGTTGAGGAAAAAAATGTATATTGATTATTAGTAAATTTATGACCTCTCCATCTGCACTATTTAGATAGATAGATAGATAGATAGATAGATAGATAGATAGATAGATAGATAGATAGGAACAGACTGAGATAGATAGATAGATAGATAGATAGATAGATAGATAGATAGATAGATAGATAGATAGATAGAAACAGACTGAGATAGATAGATAGATAGATAGATAGATAGATAGATAGATAGATAGATAGGAACAGACTGAAATAGATAGATAGATAGATAGATAGATAGATAGATAGATAGATAAGTTGCGTGCTTACTTGTGTCTATACTTATGTGTCTAGCCAATTGGAACCACGATTTTGATAACAGAATGTTCGTTTTAAAAAATATGAGTACAATGACTTTAAATGACACACGCAAATGTCATAGAAATTCGATATGTGGCGATATACGTACTCAAGGGTCAAAATATATGGTCCACGAACAATTTCTTTTTACTTGGAAAATATAGACATGCACTTCTATTTCAATCACGTTTGAACCGCGAGGGAGACGCCTCTGGCCAAGTGTGTGGGCTACTCCGTCGCGCAGCGTTGTCCAGCAAAATTAAATTCCCGTGAATTGTCTCGTCATAGTCTCTTTGATTCACGGCCATATCCACCATTGCCATCATGGGAGAGAAAGAGGATAGGGAAAGAGAATGATGATACCGATGCGAGAGGGTGCCCACAAATACATACATATATATATATATATATATATATATATATATATATATATATATATATGTGTGTGTGTGTGTGTGTGTGTGTGTGTGTGTGTGTGTGTGTGTGTGTGAGGATAGCGTGAAACATATATATATATGAAGAAATATACTCTTAAGGTATGCTATATTTGTGGGATAAAGTGCTCAGCGTGTGTATATATATATATATATATATATATATATATATATATATATATTTGGTTGGATTGATGTGAGTTTGTGACCCTGGCTTTCACGCTTTTGCGATCGTCAGACAAACTGATTAATCTTTTTAAAAATTTTGGGTTTATGTAGATTGCGTGTATTGGTGATATTATGGGAGTGGGAGGAATCGTCGTCGTGATGTCACTCATGCTAACGCAAACATAGATGCATGTCCGTACACCCGATGAGGTACGCAGGCACACATACACACTCGCTCGACCGCCGGGGCTCATACAGATATAAACATATGTGGACAGTATGGGATTTGACATATGTATGTATATGTGTGCTGTTGTCTCTATACATACTCATTCGTATGTTGAAATTCAAAGATCGGAAGTGTAGCGAAAATTTCTCGTGAATGTCTACATGTCAGTAATCAGAGCCTTTTTCTATTTTTTCGCTGAATAATATTTCCTCGCATGCACGTATATACATGTGGTGGGGTCTGTGTAAAATTATGATAGGTAAAAATTGCTATTATTTTTAATTTTTTAAAGTTTATTTGATATTATTTTAAAGCTGGTTATTTGCTTGTTTTTGATAACTGGGTATATGTAACTGGTAGAGATTGCAGCTTGTAATCTTTATTGGTTATTTTTATGGTGGTATTAAATATGCTGGAGGAGGGGGTAGTTTACGTTAATAATTATCGCGGGTTTATATGATAATAGTAGTTGTGATGTGATAGTAATGTTGTAGGGGGATTGGTGGCAATGATAATATAAGTGGCTAATAGTTACTGTAAGTTGGTAGAAGTGATTAGTAATGGTGGTGAGAGAATGATAAAAACAATAAATGTAATTATTGTGGTGGTAGCTTGAACTAAAGAGTGATTGTTGGTGTTTTATTTTATTTTATTTCATTTATTTATTTTGGTATAAATCCTATTATCAGGATTTATACCAAAATAAATAAATAAATAAATGAAATAAAATGAAAATAAGTACCGCGCATATAATATATAAATAATATATAAAAAATTGCATATATATAAAAATATATATATATATATATATATATATATATATATATATATATATATATATATATGCAATACTCTTCGATAAAACGAATTGACTTCTCACAATCACTGTTGTGTTTATGTAAAAAATAAATCCGCTTAAATTTGTCTTCATCCCTGTCGTGCACCAACGGCTTAGGGGGTAGAATCTCCGACTGATGCCAGTTCAGCCTTGTTTCAACGAATGTCTATTATGTTTGATCATGAGCCGTTTTAAACTCCGTATATTTTCCTTTAATTTCGGGTGAAAATAAACACACAAATTGTCCAACATTTGGATATTTTGTTATTATGATGTTCCTTGATCTAAGCTTTCAGCTCATATAAGCCATCTTCAGAGTTGTTATATGGATATTTAAACAAAGATATTCACCATCAAAGATGATATTCTCGTATGTTGACATAGAAGATTGCTATGCGACGCTAACGGTCGCGGAAGAGCAGACGCAGGTCGTAAATTCGTGATGCGGTTCTATGGCGTGAAGATGACAATAAAAACATATACACCAAGAAAAGGGTTACTAGTTTTTATTTCCCTTTGAAAATTTATGAAAAAACCAATAGTATTTTTATACCCTTCAGACAAAAGCCCCTCAAATTTTAGGGTTATTTTTTTTTTAATAAACGATTTGTTTTATTAAATAGGATATATTTTTTAGATAATTCTAAATTTATTTTTAAAGATTTATTACATGTTATATCAACGAGTATAAACTATTTTAGAGATATTATTCACTTAATTAATATCTTCTGAAGAAATATTTAAAATTGTGAATATACTATATATCTATATAGTCTATCTACTATTGAAAATAATACCAAAAAATAAGTTGATTTGTTGTTTAATAGAATATCAATACCTGCTGGGGTTATTTAATGCCACAATCTAAATATTTTGTACGCAATTTTATTTATTTAATTTCTGGAGATAATAGTGGACAAGACTTACTAATTAACCCATAGGTTCGGGGAGAAGGGTATTTACGAGAAATAAAAATAACGAAACCAACTGGAATTGAAACCCAAGCTTACAGAACCCGATATTCTCAAGCGGTCACCCATCTAAGTACTGACCAAGCTCGACTTTGCTTAACTTTCCTGATTGTACGGGGTGGGGGTGAAGTGATTTGGACGTAAGCCGAAAAAATGACTTAAGTTCAGCTAAGTCTCTTGAAAAATTCTCACGAATGTTAAATGATATGAAATTATTTACCATATCAAGTAAATATGCATCAAAAACTCCTATTTACGAAGTAAAGATGGAGGGAAACTTGTTTTAATAAAACGGACTCTGGAAATGATCCTAATCCACTTTTTGGAATAGGTTTTGTGTGGGGTAGTGAGCCGGAGTCTGGATGGCTTCCAAAACCCAGGTTCGAACTCAGTATTAGAGTAAGAATTTATTCAATTCAGCGTAACATAGAAAGGTTTACATTGTAAATCAAAATCTTTCTCTGTGTCTATCATTTTCGATGGCGTGTTTACTAAGTTAGCCTCCAATAAGGTTTTTTTTTTAATTTTTATGAGTGAAAGAGAAGGTATGGATCAATAATGGAGCAATATATTAATCCTGAATTCAACTGTCTACGCTATTTACCAAAATTTCGAAATAGGCCTATAATTTGACTTTTCGGGCAGGGGTTTCAAATTTTGGTCAGTTAGGAATCATACACTTCCGGTAGAACAAACAACGTTTTTCTCCACATCCGTCATAAGATGAATATCATCATTATTATTTTGTTTAGTTTCTGTGGATGACAAAACACATAACCAAACAATGCAATATAATAAACCTATAACTCTACGACTCTATAAAATATCGTTTACTCTATTATATTAGGGCCTATGACTACCAAACATCAACTTCGGATACTCTTAGAATGTAAAATTATAAAAAGCCAATACTGTTAAATTCTGTTTGATTTTAAAATGAGCAAAAAATTCACCAAATTTCAAGAACTTCTGAGCTAAGAGTTAAAGAAGACAAAATTTGGAGGTTGTCTGTTTATATATAGGTCAGTATAACATCGTAAACTTTCATCAAAATCTGAGATGACGTTCATGGGAATTTACGAAAATTTAATAGATCTGACATGGCAGTAGCCATATATGTATAAAATCGATTAAATTCAAAAAAGAAATAGATGGAATTTTTTCTCCCATAAATAAGTGAAACGTTCCACTATCGTAACAACAAACAATCAATATAAGAATTCGTACTTACATTTTTCATCAGCTTAGTTTCATCCGGGCCTGACGATTGTCTCGTGCATGAAAATCAGAGTTGTACTAAACGTTGAGGAACAAGATGTATATTGATTATTAGTAAAAAAAAATTACTCCGTTATTATATATTAAGTACTAATTTATGAACACTACCTCTCCATCTGCACTATTTAGATAGATAGATAGATAGATAGATAGATAGATAGATAGATAGATAGATAGATAGGACTTTACTGAGATAGATAGGACTTTACTGAGATAGATAGATAGATAGATAGATAGATAGATAGATAGATAGATAGATATTCGTTGCGTGTTTCAAGAACTGCGAATATAAATTCTGTCGGGTGCATGCAAATCTTCCCTTTGTTGTCTTTATCTTTTTTAAGAATAGGTCTTGATTTTTTTTTCACGTGCGAAGTAGCCGCCACATACAATGATCAAAGTGCAAAGCTAAAAGTAAAAGTAATCAATACCAAGAGACGATGTTAATAGGCTCTTCCCTGTGAAATGTAATCGTGTTAACCAATAGAAGACATGCAATATGCATGAGGAGGTATTGGTAAGATTTTGAAATGGAATCCTCTGCTAAAAGAGGCGCTTGTAACATAAGTAATAAGCAGCCAGGTTTTGCAAAGTTTGAAATCAGCAACCGTGAAGGGTTAGAACATCTATGTTAGATGTCAACGTATTTGCACGAGGTTAAAATATTGTTTGTTTTTTTTTTTTTATTTGCTTAGTTTGGACGGCAGTAACATTAAGAAAAATGGACGTGAAAATAAATCTTTGAAAATTTAGTTTCTCTGTTCTCTGGTGAGCGTCTGCCTTCCTGGCAAAGCATTATCTGAAAATATATCTGACTGGCACTCGAACATCGTTATTTGCCACTGAAGAAGCTGAAAGAAAACCACCTGCCTACGGATCCACAATGAGTTCAGCAAATATATAAAAATCAAAAAGTATGTAAGGCAAGGGTGTGTCTTCTCGTCAGACTTAATAAACTTATATAGTTAAGCGATTCTGAGAGAATTATGGGTCCTACCAGGATTCATTATTGGCGGCCACAATCTTAACATTAGATATGCAGACGGCCTTTTAGCAAACCAATTATCTGAACGCCGATATTTAACGTGATTCGAACGACAAATTCTAACACAATCCTTTGAACCATGTAGTAAGCCTAATCTAAGGAATGTATTAGGTTTAAATTAGCAGGATACCTAACCAAAACAAGATAGAGGAAGATTGTTTTGAGCCAATTTTCGACAGGAATAGCGTTTACTTTCAATCAACCAATGTTGCTTTTACCTGATGTAAATATATCTTGATATAGTAATCTTAGCTAATTACAGCACCAATGACATTAAAACGGGGAGATTGCGTTACGCCAATAATATGTGGGAATTTTTTAAAAAAACTTCAAGTCATGAAGCAGACAAATATCAATACAAATTGATATAATTGAATTTCTTTTTAATACAAAGGTTACTCTATATAAGAGGATGTGCGGGTGGTGTAATGGGTAACTCTTTGGAGTTCGAACTCGTCTCACCGTCTTCGAATTCCGGTCAGGATCGTTACAACCACTTACGCGTATATACCTTTGGGACAGGTATGGAACTGTCTCTACTTTCTCAGTTGTGGGTTGAATAATAGGATAGACTGAAAGCTATGTATAGCCTTGGTTGGCAAACAGTCTACCGTATGAAAAAACGGTAGTATGCTGTGGCAAAATATTCTACCATAAATCGAAACAGATATGCATGACATTTGGCTTTTACACAGCATAAAGAATATACTTCAAATAGAAAAATTATATATATATATATATATATATATATATATATATATATATATATATATATATTTTTTCCTCTCCCTCTCCCATCTTCTGATCTTTAAGATTATATCGTCTCTTGTGTGTGAATGTCACCACAAAATGTATCCTTTCCGGTTACATCTTTAATGTATTAGACATCCGAGAACATTCATATTTCTCTCACTTAAACCGTCTTTGACTCCTCCCTTTAAGACTTCTCTCTGTTAAATTTTAATCCCCCCCTTCATCTTTAGACCTTCCTGTTCTTCTCTCGTCTGTTACCCCTCCCTATAGCTTTCATTTACTCTAACATTCATACCACACTCTCATACATACACTCTCACTAAATTTTATTTTTTTATTCCCGGTGTTGTTTTTTCTGTTTTCTTGTTGAATTTGTAGGTCTGATGAATTGGATCGTATTTACGATTCCAATGGAATAAATTACGACCATAGAATATTAGTGTTTAAGCCTTTTTATCATATATATATATATATATATATATATATATATATATATATATAAACAGAGATGTGTACCCAAAGAACTGATATATAACGTTAAACAAAACGGATGCCATACCTCTCAGCCAACACTTTTTCAAATATTATATATATAAGTGGACACTGAAGTCAACACCCAAAAGCGACAGTCTGTTTCATGCTTAAACGCAATTGTCTGTGTGTTCACATCAAATATAATAATAATAATAATAGCTGTCCACTCGTATTCGAGAATACTTGTCTACTACCCGGCGGCTAGCCAATACCTATTGCAGACGCTCGCTCAGGCACATTTGTGTTTGTTCAGCACCAACAGAGTACACTTGTGGTTTATACTGCAATTATGCTGAGAAGAACTTAATATATCACCTAGCATGATCAACAATGTGAACAAGCCCACTCAAACCCTCGGTCACGACGACTTGTGACTTCGTGCTAGCACAGCTACCGAGGCCCACGTGTTCCGTCTACAAGGCTTGGGTCAACCCGTGGTATGGTTTTCAGACATTCTTCAAAGGTGCTGCATGCTGTGATCGTCACCCCTCTGAATCAACCATGTTGAGATTCGAACCCGGATCTCATGGACAAAAAGCGAACGGTCTAACTATTCGGCCACGCGACCATATATATACCTACTCCTGTGCAAATTAATTGAAACAAAACGAATAATTTCGTTTTTATTTACTTTTCTTTTGTATTTTTCCAATGAAACATGACCCATGGACATGTTAGTACTTCCTAAGTCTTTCCTTGCAGATTGACCACAGATTCTCAAATGAATTTAAATCAGGAGAATTTCTGGACCAGTCTATAGTACTTTGATTTGCTCACTGGTAAGGCTTGCCAGTGTGTTCGTGCAGCTTTAACTTTTCGCACGCCACCATAGAGTAACGCCCATCGCAGACTATAGACGTAGGACAACTAATCGACAGTCGAGACAATGGCATTTCGGTGTGATAAAAATCTGATGCAATCACGGATGACGCAATATTTTTTTACTTTAATCGGTATAAAACTAACCGTATGTTGAAAGAAAAAACTAAAACGGTTGTTTCAATTAATTTGCACAAGGGTGTATATATATATATATATGTGTGTGTGTGTGTGTGTGTGTGCGCGCGTGTGTGTATGTGTGTGTATGTGTGTGTGTGAGTACAAATTAGAGAAAAACAAGCGGAGTAAAAATCCACAGTTCGTTGCATTTACTTTTAAAAATGTAGAGTAATATATTATTATATTTTTATAAAAAGATTATAATAAAAACACACACACACACACACATATATATATATATATATATATATATATATATATATACTGATATTAAAAATCCGACTCATTTTTACGTCAAACCATATTTTTAGTGGAGAGGAGTATTTAAGTAGACGCTCCATTTTTTAAACAGCGTTTATTTCCTCTAGCGGCCTGGGTACTTGAGGGAAATTAATAAGCAAAATTCGTCCTCCTGAAGGACCCGTACATGATAGGTTTGATAAAATAAAATTCTCAACGTACAATCTGTTGTGAACTACAGCAAGAATTGACCTGTTCATTTTAACGCTTCTAAA